CAGTTCCAACAGCCAGCCCCCGCGCTTCGTTTCATAAGTAGCAAAGCCACCGTCAGCATTTCGCATGTTCAGCAACTGAAAGGGTAAGGAGGGATACAAAAACCTTATGCAACACAGGCTGTTTCTGCTCATACACAACTCCCACCCATGTTGTCTCCTTTGTGCAAGGAACACAGCTGTAGACCTAGAGCAGTGATGGCGAACCTTTTAGAGACTGAGTGCCCAAACTGCGACCCAAAACCCACTTATTTATCGCAAAGTGCTGACACGGCAATTTAACCTGAATGCTGAGGTTTTACTTTAGAAAAAACAACTCATACATTAACTTTTGGCAGAGAATGCGACACTTTAATGATGGTCTGGGCCTGGCTGGGGCGATGGCACATGTGCCCACAGAGAGGGCTCTGAGTGCCACCTCTGGCACCCGTGCCATAGGTTCGCCACCACTGACCTAGAGGGTACAACCTACAGCCTGCAAGGGCATACCGCCCTGGGACGCACAGCCTTGCCACCCATAACCTGCTCCTCTTCCCTCCCAACATAGGCAAAGGAGGCATTCTAAAGGCCACCCAGGATACTTCTGTTGTGTCCAATCTTCCCTCTAATCCCACCCACCCCACTGAGCAGAGCAGTTCACATCCTGAGCAAGATATAACTGCTGTGAGCTTAAAATGGAAAGAAGAAGAACTGTGTGGTGTTAGCGATAATAAAGCTAACCCTATTCCTGTGAAAAACAAGAAATATTCGCTTATACAGGGCTTTTTTTGTAGAAAAAGCCCAGCAGGAACTCATTAGCATAATAGGCCACACCCAACACCAGAAATTCATTAGCATGTTAGCCACACCCCATTACATCACAACTCATTAGCATATTAGGCCACACCCACCTTTTGCTTCTCATTCTGTTTACTTTGTTTGTTGTGAAAACCCTGGGCTTTTTTTGCAGCAGAAACTTTTTTGCATGTTAGGCCACACACTCCTAATGTAGCCAATCCTAATGAGTTTCTGCTGTTAGGTGTGGCCTATTATGCTAATGAGGTCCTGCTGGGCATGGTCAACTCAGAAGCCAGCCGGAACTCCGTTCCTGTGTGTTCCTGCCCAAAAATAGCCCTGCACTTATAATCGAGTGAACCAGTTGTACAATTTCCATCTGATAAACAGACAATTCATACCATGCAAAATTCATTCAGCAAAAAAATGTTCATAACACGGGCATAAATAATTCCATGGCGTCTCCTGAATTTCCAATGGACAGTAGGCTCACAAAGTAAGGGAGGAAAACGGGTTTACAAGGAAAGTCCACTTAAGCGGCTCCCAAAAGGAACTTCAAAAAATTTCTCTCCAAGCGGCTCCAGAAAAGAACCACGGGATCGCCGGCTTCAGATGTATACATCATTTCGCCTACATGGCTTTACTGAGTCAGAACTGGTATTTTGCAGAATGTCACTGAAAGGCACTCTTTACGAATTCAATCATTAATGTTGTTTTCAGTGAGGCTATACCTTCACGATGGTCAATATTCTCACGCACAGTTCTTTTCTTCTTTTTTCCTATATATACTGTGTGACTCATGGTTCTTTTGTAATCTTAAAATCTTAAAAAGACCCTGAGCGGCTCCAGATTGTTGCTGAGCGGGGCTTCCTGTGTTAAGGAACGTCCGCTCACGCGCATAGCTGAGGAGAAAACACTGGTTGCCTGTGTCCCTGCTCTGGATGCAGCAGAAGTTTCCTAGGCTAAACTGCTAAGATGCAAGCCTCTGGAAGGACACAGGAAAATTTCTGGTGGGTGGGTAAGTGAGAGAGAGAAAGCCATCTCTCAAATCCTGCTCCCCACTAAAGAGCCATGGGACAGAGTTCCAGCATCACCTGGGAGAAGCCCACTAAGCTACAGTAAAAAAAAAAATCATGGGCTACCAAACCAACAGAGTTGGCTCTGGATCTCACCCAGGAGTGTCCTTCCGCAGTCTAGGGCCCATTCTGCGTCTAGCACTCGCTCCGCTGTTCTACCAAACGCATTTTTGAACGGAAATTCCCCTCTACATTACATGCTGCATTCCCTTTGAGTGATTGTTGATAGTTCTCGATGTTGATAGTTCTCGATGCTTGAAAAAAGCAAAGAACATTTTGCAGGATTTGTCACACCCTGAACACTCCCTGTTTGAACTGCTGCCTTCGGGTAGAAGATACTACATAAATTAGTTTGCTCTGCAGTCATCTCTCCTGACCTAAAACGAAAATCTGTGAGCTGATGGCTAAAAAACTGTGAGCTAGCTCACACTAACTCAGCTTAGAGGGAACAATGGTCCAGACTGCATGCCGGTTTCGCTTTCTTTGATCTCTCGGTTTTACGGTAGCCGTCTGCATAGATTTATGGCCGCTTTAGGGCCGTTCAGGGGTGACTCTGCAGTCAGTACGGCATTGGCCCAGGGTATCTGAATGTGGTTTTGAGCCACATCTTTTTCTGCTCCAGTGTGGGTTCGGGTAAAACAGCGGAGCGAATGCTAGATGCAGACTGGGACTAGGACCACTAACCAGCCAAGAAGGACCAAGGAGAACTCAGCGCTTGAGAGCGGAATGGACTCTGCCGCAGAACAAGAAAGACGCTCCCCCCGCTTCCTCGTACTTACCACGTTGACGGCGTCAAAGAGGCGCTCCGGTGGGATGTGCTCCTTTAGGGACAGGCATTTCTTCTGAAGCAGCATCACAGACTTCAGCCCTTCCGCCGTACAGTCGGCCACGATCCAGCCACAGTCACGGGTGCTGAAGGGGAATCCGCCCTGGAGGAGAGTCAGATGCCAGAGAGTTGAGTGATTAAAACAGAAGAAGGCTGGGAATAAAAATTGCTTCCCAGTTCTATGCTTCTAGCATTTACCCTAATGGGGGGGGGACATTCCTTTCTGATACCCCGTTCATCCAACCCTTCAAAGGCTTCCATTCATCTACAGAACGCCTCGTTGCAAGAGCATACCTTGTTCATTTGGCGGTAGTACTTCTTATAATCAGGTGGGTTTTCTGGAATCTGGAAGAGACACAAAACCACATTCACCAATGGCAGAGAGAAGCGATCCCACAACTTGAGAGAAGTACGGTAGGAACGACCCTGGGAAAGCGACAGTCCCCACGCTCTTAGGTAAACAGCCTGCAATGCCGGCATGCCTCTTGTTGCTCTTTCAGGTTTTAGCCAGAAGATCGATACATCAGGAGCACAGAGTCTTCGTTCAGACTGGGAGTCGCAGGCCAGGGAGAAGAGACCAGGGATGCCGCAGCATTGTGGTGATGGCAAACTCCTCCAATCAATTTACTCTGATGGGATAAGCAGGTGGCACAACATCGCACTCTGCCCTGCAGGCAAGAGTTTATGACCTATGCATCCCTGCATGTGACCAGCACCAGGGATAAGCCTATCAGTGGCTACTGGCCGTGGTGACTAAGGGGAACCCTCCACGTTCAGAGGCACTAAGTCTCTGAATCCCAGAGCCAGGAGGCAACATCAGGGGAAGGCCTCGGTCTCTATGCTCTGTTGCTGGACCTCCAGAGGAACTGGCTGGCTGCTGTGTGAGACGGGATGCTGGACTAGATGGGCCACTGGTCTGATCCAGCAGGGCTCTTCTTGTGTCCTTACACAGAGAATCCGGGCCGCATTATGGCTTCCATGGGACCGCGGCACTTCTGCCTCCATAGGCCCCTCCCATCATAATAATATTAATATGAAAAATTATGTTTGACATAACTTTAAATACTGAAACATTTTTTTTGTTTGAGGCAAAATTTAATAGATTTCCGTGGGCCCTAAAATTTCATTCTTTCCTGATTATTTATTATTTATTAATTCAATTTCTATCCCGCCCTCCCCATGAGCGGGCTCAGGGCGGGTTACAAAGTCGCATATGGATCGTGACTAAAATAACAATCAACCATGCGACAAACAAGAGTGAGCTCGCCTTGATAAACAAAGCTCGGATGGAAGTGTTCCAGAGCGGTGCAACTGGATAGTTTGAGAAGAAGACGAAGAAGACGAAGAAGAAGACGAAGAAGAAGAAGAAGAAGACGAAGAAGACGAAGAAGAAGACGAAGAAGACGAAGAAGAAGACGAAGAAGACGAAGAAGAAGACGAAGAAGACGAAGAAGAAGACGAAGAAGACGAAGAAGAAGACGAAGAAGACGAAGAAGAAGACGAAGAAGACGAAGAAGAAGATGAAGAAGAAGACGAAGAAGACGAAGACGAAGAAGACAAAGACGAAGAAGACGAAGAAGAAGACGAAGAAGAAGACAGAGGAGGAGGAGGAGGAGGAGATTGGATTTATACCCCGCCCTTCACTACCCGAAGAAGTCTCAGAGCGGCTTACAATCGCCTTTCCCTTCCCCTCCCCACAACAGACACCCTGTGAGGGAGGCGGGGCTGAGAGAGCTCTGACAGAAACGTCTCTTGAGAGAACAGCTCTGAGAGAGCCATGACCGACCGAAGGTCAGTGCTGTCAGCAGGGGAGGCCAAGATAGATTTGGATGCCCGCTGCCTCAACCAAGAGCCCAGCAGAACAGCTCCATCTTACAGGCCCTGCAGGATTGTAACAGATCCCACGGGGCCCTGATATCAAGTGGGAGCTTGTTCTACCAGGCAGGGGCCAGGGCCGATACGAGAAAAAAATTAAAACGTTTTTGTGGGCCCCTAAAAGTATCGTGGGCCCTATGCACTGTGCCTACAATGCCTAATGGATAAGTCGGCCCTGCAGAGAATGATTATGGTAGGTGAGATCACAGATGGGTCTGCCTGCCTAGTCCACAGGAACTACTACGCAGGACATTCCAAATTGCGAGTTTCCACCCTTCTTTAAATAGAAGGGTAAGATAATATCAGAACTGGATGATGATAAGTTCGTTCACGATTCTGCATATAATCGGTCCTTTGGCTCTTACCTGAGTGATTCTGAAGAAGGTGTGCGCATGTTGCAGACAGGAGGCAAATTCAGGCTTCTTGTGAGCCCCAGCCTTTACAAAGGAAAAATATACTATTTTCAAACTCTTGAGAATTTTGGGGTAAGTCAACACATCATCACTTAGGATCCAGAGGAATCTGTGAAACAGATACTACCAGGGCTTTTTTTTGTAGAAAAAGCCCAGCAGGAACTCATTAGCATAATAGGCCACACCCAACAGCAGAAACTCATTAGCATATTAGGCCACACCCCTGACAGCACAGCTCATTGGCATATTAGGCCACTCCCCCATGTTACCAGAAGTGTGGTTATCCAGCCACACCCACCTTTTGCTTCTGGCACGGGGAGGCATTTAAATGCCTCCCTGATCCTTCCAGGGCCCCCCTGGCCCCCCTGCCTCGGAGTCGCTGGGGGGGATCACTCTCCAGGCCTTCCCTCTGTATGACACAGAGGTTTTGGCTGTAGTAGGCGTGGCCAACTCTGAAGCCAGCTGGAACTCCGTTCCTGTGCGTTCCTGCCTAAAAATAGCCCCGGATACTACTAAGCTTAGTTATAAGTAGATTTCATTAACCATACTGGATAAACAGAGAGCCAGTGTGTGGTGCATTAGTTAGACCAGGCTGCTGAATTTATTTATTTGTACCCCGCCTTCTGCCCCAATGGGGACCCAGAGCGGTTTACATCATTCCTCCATTTTACCCTCACAATGACCTTGTGAGGTAGGTTAGGCTGGCAGAGTGTGACTGGCCCAAGGTCACCCAGCAGACTTCCATGGCATGAGTCAAACCCAGATCTCCCAGATCCGACACTCTCCACCACCACACCACGCTGGCTCAGCTTCCACCTGCCAAAGAAATGCGTTGCGTGACCTTGGGCCAGTCACCACCCGCTCTCTGCCTAGCCCCCCTTGCAAAGTTCTGGAGATGGAGGAGGGTGGAGTTGCATGGGATGCCAGCCGTGGTGTGAAGGTCAGAATGTCAGACTAGCGCCTGCTGCCATGGAAACCTGCTAAGTGGCCTTAGGCCAGTTACAAACAACCAGCCTAATTTACCTCACAGGATTATTGTTGTGAGGATAAAAGGGAGGAGAAGGAGAAGGATGTAAACTGCCTTGGGTCTTCAGTAGGCTTGCCAGTCTCAAGGTCGGGGTGGGGGTTCCCCCGGTTTTCAGGGCTTCTGGCCGGCAGGTGAAACCCCACCTCCAAACAACCACATCCCCACGTGATTTCCCCGACGTGATGACGTCACCCGGAAGTGACGTCATCATGCTGGGGCCGTTCTGGTTTAAGGGCAAAACCATAGAGTTAAACCAGAGCCTCCCGGCGTGATGATGTCACTTCCGGGTGACGTCATGTCAGGGACGTCCTGGAACGGGCCCCAAATCCCCTCGCCAGAGTGACGAGGGGACCTGGCAATCCTAGTCCCCAATGGGGAGAAAGGTGGGATTATACACACAGCAATTAAATAAAATGAATCCTCGGAGGAAGAGCAGGATAAAAATGTAACAAGCTACGTCGCACTAAAGATAGTAGATGACTTGACCTCAGGAGGTTCTTACTTTGCACTACTTGTGATGCCCACGAACCAGACTACCCCAACATGAAATTACTGCCTGCATCGCTGCCTTTGTGATGCCAACAGTGTGTGTTCTTCCCTAGCTTCACTCCATAGTTCTGATGCCCTCGCGGATCAATCACATGCATTTTTAACTGATATTAGAGACCTTTTTTGTCCACAGGAGTCACTCAACACTTACTCGCCTCTTCTTTGGCCTGCTAACCGGGAATATCCCAACGATTCTGTCCGTGCTCGAGCCTCCTTCCTGATCTTCATACCTACAAATCTTAGCTCCCTTAAAAGGACCAATAAAGCCCTGCAAGCAGTTCTCCCACCAAAGTGAAGTTAAGAAACCGTGGTTTGGCAAGCTTGTGCTATACTTATGGCACAGCACGGGGAAGAAGAACTTGTGAAAAGTACCTCCAAGAAGGCTTGGACCGCAAATGCTGTATCCCAAATCTGTGATCCATTGGTGCCCTAAAAGAGAAGGAAGGCACAGTTGAAACATGGCTTTTTTTTTTTGCTTAAGAATTCTGACCTGTCTCTCTTTCTACCGGCAACGGATGCCAGGAAGCCTCCCAGAGAGCTGCTAAGGGCCAGCTTCCCAAACAAACAGTGCGGCAAGCAAAAATTCTTTTCTCTCCGTTAGCCTCCTCCAGTGTTAGCAACAGCTGGCCAACCCAATGTCAGACGCCGTGGTTCCACGCACAAAAGACTACCTTTGGCAGATGAGCTGCAGTCATTGAGTGGCCGAGTTGGTCTGCCTTAGACGAGCAAGGATGGCGATGTTTGCATTAGAAGAGCATGTTTCAGGTCCAGTAGCCTCTTAAGAGACCAACGAAATTTGCAGGGTAGGAGCATTCGATAGTCAGAGCTCTGATGAAAGGGAGCGTGGACGCTCGAAAGCTTATACCCTGCAAATCTTGTTGGTCTTTAAGGTGTTACTAGACTCAAATCTTGCTCCACGTTAAGTAGGCTCAGGGGTCATTTCGTAGAAAAAGAGGTGCAGGAGCTCATTAGCACAACTCATTAGCATAACTCATTTGCATATGCCACACCCCCTGACATCACTGGAAGTGTGTCAGAAGGCAACACCCACTGCTCAGGCTCCACTGGACTGTTTTGGATTGCTAGCTATTGGGGGGGGGGGCATGCAGATCTGTCCTTGCAGAGGAGGGAGAGCTTGTACCTGAATAAAACTTGGTCTTAAAGGTG